GAGGGTTTGAATCCCACCGTCACCGCCTGACTTTCCTCATTTCTTGTTGTCCGGCAGCCCTTCGATTGACCACTTCTCCTTTCCTCAACACTATATCCTTGTATATTCCATGGAAGGAAGTGAAAATGAAAGACAGAAAAAAAGAAAAATGAGGCTTGACATAAAGAGCTCTTATTTACTTCTTCGCATTCAGTTCTTGTTCATGGACAGTTCATTTTTCATACCCTCATTCGTTCAACTTTAGTCTCTCACAGAGTCGTATGCTTTTTTCGACTCTCCTTTTCACTCTACTGTGCAATGTTTCTCCCCTGGGTGAAAGTAATTTGCACCCACCCACCTACACACACACACATCCCGATTTTCGGAGTGGTTCAGTCATATTGGCATCCTCATGTTCGATTTTGTACAAATCTGAGTGTAGTGTATATGTAATGTTCTTCGAACATTATGTATCCTTGCTTTGTTTCTTTAATGCAACACATATGTATTTGCTCTGTTTTCAAGCACCATTCTCATTGGCGTTTGATTTCAGTTCCAACAGTTTCTTCGCCTTTGCCACAATCTACGTCGTGAATCGAAAACGAACAAAGGTTTGAACTCAGGCACACTGTTGCTTGAACCTCTGATTCACGAAGCACTGGCTCGTCATTTCGCCGCCAAAGTAAGTGTCCTATGTTTTGTATTGTGTTATACTGTTCAGTTTATGTGGTCCACTCTGTAAATGGGTTTTAATCGACGAAATTGTTCATAGACCTTTTATAACATGATGCAGAAAATGTACAACAAACTAGTCAACTTAATAATCACAAGGATTAATGTACAGAAACATGGAACCAAAACTCAGTTGGTCGATTCTGCTTCTGAACTGGAGAAGATTTACCAGCAGAAGGAAAAACGGAGTTACAAAAAGTTTTACACAATCTCGCTGTTCTTTGAGAACGGCCAATTTGGACGGTACTTTTGTCAGAGTTTCCGAATCATCTGGTAAGATTGGAGGGCCGGGTCTTGTGAGCGGATGGAAGTGGATAAAGCATCAGACCGGCAAGCTCCGCGGAAGGAAATCCTCCGGTAGTAACGGTGGAACAGTGACGGAATAATCACACGATAATTGAAAAAGGATTGATGGAGGCTGATCAGTGGTAGGGTCCGTGACTTTACGTGGAATTAAGTCTAAGAATGCTAAGTAAGAAGAGGCTGCACCCTAGACACAACTTCCATAGTGGTACTTGTTTCAGCCCTGCAAACAGTGAGAAGTGCAGGCGATGAAAATCTTCTTCGCGTGCCTAGGGTCGGGAATCTTCCTGAACGCGTTCAATGCAGGTTCAAAATTGTGAGGAACAAAAGATATAGAAGGAACTTGGAAATAAGCTGAATAGTAGAAGAATGAGACCGAAGTGAAGAACAGTATAAAACACAAGACTCAGAATCATTTTGTGTTCTTTCGTCTCATTGCCCACTCTGTCGCTTCTAATTTGTCCCGTTGACATTCGTTTCGTTCTGGTGATCGATTTCTTACATAATCAAGCGAGTGCCTAGTTCTCCCAGTCTCTGACACGTACATATGGACATGCAGACACACACCGCTCATTCGTATGACTTCAACCACACGAGTTCTCTTGTGACCTCCATTGTTCCTTACTATTGGTTGATCTATGTTCCGTCTACCCTTGTCCTGTATTGGTTCACCGCTTATCATTTATCGACTATTTGATCACCTAAACACATGTGACCAGTTTTGATGGCTCCTTGGGAGTCACTACATCGTGGTAATCGCCGAAGAATCCAATGCCCAAGTGGGTTACTTAGACGAATCAGAGAAGCTTCTTGGTGGACCACATGCAATCCCAGTCAACCGGACGGAAAACGGAGATCAACTACTTCAACTCCGTGCCGACCACGGACTATTCCTGTCAAGCATGAACTTCTCGCACAATAAGCGTCTTCGTCTTAAATGGAAACCGCCAACCTCTTCACTGCGCTGGACCCAAATCAACCACACCGCTATCAGTTACGCCTGGAGGGGATCGATTCAAGACTGCCGCTCTTACTGGTCAACACCTGTTGATACGGACCNGACCACGGACTATTCCTGTCAAGCATGAACTTCTCGCACAACAAGCGTCTTCGTCTTAAATGGAAACCGCCAACCTCTTCACAACGCTGGACCCAAATCAACCACACCGCTATCAGTTACCCCTGGAGGGGATCGATTCAAGACTGCCGCTCTTACTGGTCAACACCTGTTGATACGGACCACGTTTTGCTACGAGCCAAATTCTCCTTACGCCTGGCAAACAACCGCAAAAAGCCATCGAAAACGTATACCTACGATACAACGTCAACGGTTATTGCAAATCGGCCTTCGAAGTGGAACTCTCCGACCGCCTGTCAGTGTAACCACCAGCCGAAAAACTCAATGAACAGTGGAAACAAGTCAAGCAAGTTATGCAAATAGCAATAAAAACAACCTCAGACCCTCACGCAGGCTCAAACATAAACGACGGATCTCATCGACCTCGGCTGCTCTGCTGGACGCTCGCAGAACCCTGCTTCCGGATGCCGCATGTGACACTGCAGAAATCCCTCAAACGCCAGCTCATCAAGAGTCTGAGGAATGACCGCGAGAAGTGGTGGACAGGAAAATGCAGAGAGATGGCGAAGGCTGCGGCTATTCGTAATAGTCGCAATCTTCTCCGTCTAACTAGGAGTACGGGTCCTAGGAAAATAAGCGTGAGGTAATTAGGGATTCAATGGCACACCGATTCACGATCAGAAACGCCGTCTTGATCGATGGACTGAACATTTCAAGGCTCAGTTCAACTGGCCCCCGTCGACATCTGAACTGTCACTCTCCACTGCGACTGAGAAAATTCCGCCAGTCGATGCCAGTCCTCCATCTGAAATGGAGGTTTCCCGCGAAATAAGCTATCTCAAAGGCATAAGGCCTCAGGCCAAGACGGGCTCTCCCCATCCGTTTTCAAGGATGGAGCATTGGTTAGCATTGTTTTCGGAGTTAACAAAACTCCTGGGTTCAGTGTGGGAGACGGAACAGGTTCCATCTGAATGGTCTGAATCGGTCATCATACCGATCTACAAGAAACGTGACAGATCCTCTTGTGAAAACCATAGAGGAATTAGTTTAATCTTCTTCTCACTGGTATCATACTCCGTCGATTATCCGCAGCGCGTGAGAACCAGGCTGGTTTTAGGCCTGGTCGAGGTTGTATCGACCACATCTTCACTCTTCGCCAAACTCTGGAGCTCCGACATTCTTCTCGTAGACCAACCATCTCTATTTTCCTGGATCTTAAAGCGACCTTCGACTCATTCGATCGCTCTAAACTCTGGCGCTGCCTTTCCCTGAAGGGAGTGCCCGAGACGTTCATTTCAACATTACGATCCCTCTATACTCACAGCCGAAGCCGAGTTCGAGCTTATGGCACGTTTTCACCCGAGTTCACCACGAAAAGTGGTGTTCGACAGCGTTGCCCTCTCTCTCCTTTTCTATTTAACTTTGTTATCGATCTGATTA